AACCTCATCACCAGAAGCAAACTTCCTCAAGCCCAGAACACACCAAAAGGATCCAGACCGTGCCATGACAAGAAATACAAAACCTGCCAACACATCTCCACCACCCCCACTATTACTACACCCCACAACAGAGCCATCAGCATCCCCAGATCTTACAGCTGCACCTCCAGAAATGTAATATACCTCATCCAATGCACCAAATGCCCTAATGGAAAATACGTAGGAGAGACCAAACAACAACTGTGCACCAGAATGAACGCACACCAGAAATCTATGAAAGACAGAAATACCCAATTACCGGTGGGGGCACATTTCTCACAAGAAAACCACTCTCTCTCCAAACTCTCAGTCCTGATCCTCAAAGGAAACTTACACAACACTTCCCAGAGATGAGCCTATGAACTCCATTTCATCAACCTCCTGGATACTAAAAATCATGGACTAAACATAGACATTGGATTTTTGATGCATTATAAGCTGCCTGACAACTGACTCCCCAGCCCAGCCCCTGGCTTCTTTACTTTTCATTCCATCCAGGAAGAGCACATACCAACTGCTGCAGCTTCCTGAGCCTGACGAAGGGTTTTTGAACCCGAAAGCTTACTTAATAACTATTCTCCAACTATTTGGGTTGGTCTAATAAAAGATATCAGATTCACCCAAGGAACCTTGTCTGCCTATATCCTTAGACCAACCCGGCTACAACCTACACCCCTGCATTCTGTAACCATGCATTTGTTATACATATTTCATTGTAAATGGAGTGGGCTGACTTTTGCCAACGTTGCATTTAGCATGCCTTTTTTGTTACCTTTTTTATTAAAAAAATTGTACTGTAGTTAGTAATTAGCAAGGCTTGTACACCTGGCATATTTTTTATAAAGATGAGTTGGGGGGGAGGGGGTTGCTTTTTGGTTTTGGAGGTTTTTTTGAAAACTAGGGAATGTGATCTCAAAGCTCTTAATGAACTTTCTTGTACTGCTTTAGACTAATACAGCTAACCACCTTTGCTGCAAACTTGCATTTAGCAATTATCCAACCCAAGCATGCAACTGTGAAAGATAGGTCAGTACATGCAAGCAAACTGGTATCTACCCATCTCAGCTTTATAAGTGTTTTCTATAGCCCAAATCCCTTAAAGAGATAAATGACTCAAGATTCATAAAATCCCTCTAAGGTAAATTACTTCTACTTAATTTTTGAGATCTGAAAAAATAAAAAATAAATCAAGGCATGTTTCATTTCTGAATTGATATTAATGAGCTATTAATTGAAATATGTAATTATTTAGTAGGCAAAGAAATTAAGCATAATTTTATACCCATTAAAGAATGCACATTTCTTCTACATCACTGTGGAAATTCACCAAAGAATTTGCAAATCATTTACAAATGGCAAATAGGAAAAGGATGAATATATGTTTTCCAGAGTACAAGATTTTAATCCCTATGAAGGGACTTAAAGAAGATGAGTAACATCAAAGAGTCTTTTTTGCCGTGCCACACGTGCTAAAAGCAAATGCTTTTTATTATCACAAATGCTATTCAGTGGATGAGAACTGCAATTTTCCTGATGCATGACAGAATAGAATATTCTTTTTTAAACTGTCCGAGACAGGGCAATTGAGTAAACCTAGAAGGGTACTTATGTTAGGCACAGTGAGTGGATCATATACAGTTAAATACACATTTGAGTTTTTGCAGAGTCAGGACCCAAAATGAGTAACTTAAAGGGGCACCATCAACTTGGACTGCTCCGTTTTATTTGAAAACCTTTTCCTATCTTTGGAAGTAACTCTTTGTTTTACTATCATTGAAACAGATTAGAGAAAAACTTTTTGTCTTTGAGAGCACTTTGAGTCAGGGCAGCAGTTTGAGAGTTTTCTGTCTACATTAGTAGTCTAGAATAGAGTTTTTAAAAACGGCATGTAACATGATGTTCATATTTTTCAGTCTATTCTTTTTATGCAAAATTATAGGCTTCACAAGGAATATTGGAAAATTCAGCGTTTTGTTTTAAATGTTGCATATCTCCTGAACTGAATTTTCCAATATTTAGCAGTAACTTTTATTTTCTTTGCTTTTCTTGATGTCCTTGTTTGGAAATACATTTCATCTCCATGCCAAGTGTAAACCATGAATCTTCAATACTGTCTTTACAGGGAGATCATCTTCAAGTGACCTCTTTGCAGTGAATCAATAGATAAACAAGAGCCATAACAAGGAAGCTATGGAAAAGTGTGCAAAAAAAGTTGCAATTGTAATTCACAACTAAATTCAGCCCCAGAACTCGGAGTTGTTGGGAAAATAGACTCACTTGGCTGCACAGCAAAAGTAATCTTCAGGTGGAGGTTTTTGCTGAACACTCCCATGCAGCTGGTAAGAATTTGGGTAGCTATCTAGCTTATGATTATTTATTGTATTGCATTTTTTAAAAATAATTGGAATCACGACCAGAAACATGCAATAATAAGACATGTTTAGGTCCAGGCTTTCAAACAGCATCTGCGAATGATTATGGGAGGTGAGCAAATGACAGGTATGCAGCCTTTGAGGTCTGAGGATGGGCAGAGCGGCAACACAACCAGGCCCACCATTAAGGGCCAGCATTATTTTTAAGGCAGTGCAATGACGGTTTTGAGGCCAGCGTCCTGCTGTTTGAACGCTCAAGGATGGGCACAACGATTTTCTTGTCTGGTGTGCAGGCGTCAAAACCCGCCAGTTGCTCAAACCCTTTTACTCGAGATTTGCAAGGGCGCTCGCGGGGGGCATAAGCGCCCAGAGCCAGAGACCCGCAAAGACGGGTCCCCCCCGGGGACGTCTCCCGGGCTGGGCGGGGAGGAGGCGGGCGAAAACGCGGATGCCGCCGCCCGTGTCAGGGCAGGGCTGGGGGCCGATGAGCCCTGCTGCCCCGGCCATGGCTACGCTGCACTGGGGATACGACGAGCACAACGGTGAGGGCTCCCCGGCAGGCGCAGCCCCAGGGCCGCGGGCGGGGCGGGGGCTGCTGGCATCTCTCGGACTCGCTCGAGGGTTTTTTCTCTGCAGGCAGGAAAGAGCAAGGGCAAGTCCGAGGCGGCGGCGAGGAGCAGGGCTGGGAGGGACCCCCAGAGGCCACCTCGCGCAGCCCCATCCCTACCCAAACCCTCCCTTGCATCCGCCCTCGGGGCCAAGGGGAGCCTGGGCTCTGCCCCCTGCCTGGGCGAGCCGTGTGCCAGGGCCTCCCGGGAATATGATTTCCCCTCAGAGGGAGGCGGGTTGGTGAAAGCCGTGCCAGCTCTGTCTGGGCTTATCTACCGGCTCTTTCCCCTTTGCTAGTCCACCTGTCGGGCTGTGCCTCTGTCTGAAGTCAGGCAGGCGCCTGTCTCGACTGAGCGACTGAGATGCACACGTGCGTGTCTGGCCCCGCTGTAAAAGTGCCGCTGCACCCGGAAAAGTCCAAACCTGCCGCCTGCCTGGGAGCAGAGCAATCCTGCCCCCAGGACTGCCATCCCTGAGAGGAGCCCTGCGGGCTCAGGGCAAGCAGGGGCTGTTCGTAAATTTCCCAAAGGACCTTGCTGGTTCGGTGACGCGGTGGCAGGGATGGTCTGGTCTGTCAGAGGACGTGCCCCATTCAGCAGCTAGAGGGTAAAGGCAGGGGCAGAAACGGGACATGTAGCTTGAGCTCTAGGCTTTGAGATTCCTCCCTCGACTTCAGGGGTGTAGGTTGTAACCATGTCAGTGTAAGGACATGGGCAGATGAGGTTCTTTGGGTAAATCCACTGTCTTCTATTAAACCGACTAAAATAGTTGGAACTATGTGAGTTGGTCTAATAAGAGATATTGGATTTACCCAAAGAACCTTGTCTGCCTACCTTGACTTCAGCATCCTCTGAGCTTGTTCAGGAAGCCAATTTAGTCAGAGCTAAGACTGTGCCACGGGCTAACTGAGCCTGTTCTGTAGAGATAATGGCAGAAAACATTGAGTGTTAGAGGTTTGGTTTTGCACAGACTGATCTGTGAGAATGATTTGCTGGGTATTGGTTGACTGATTCAGTTGTCCTTAGAAAATTGTTCAGGCTGTTAGACTGACGCGTGTTCAGTTTGCACCTGAGACTGGATATTAGAAGTATTGCTTAATTATTAAGCTCATCATCATTGTTGTGTTTAAGTAATCTCTTATTGACTCGGTTCTGCACTCTGTCAACCACATGTGAACCCAGGTATTCCCACTGAAGTCTAGAGTTATTCTGTGTTTAGAGCTGTGTAGCTGAGAGCGGCAGTTTGACATTAGTTATTTAAATGCTTCTCAGTCTTCTTGGGGGATGATTTTCCCCTCTTGTTTATTTTGCACTGACAACTCCATTCCAGCCAGTAGATTTATCCCTGATTTATATAAGTATTAGCAAATGAAGAACGCCAGCATTCATTTTGAGGGAGTTGATAGAGACAGCAAAGATTACATGAACAATTTAACAACATTATAAACAGAACATTTCTCATTGGAAACTAGAACACAATAGGTAAACAAAAATAAGGGAACTTGGGTGTATAAACATAATAATTAATGTGTTTTATTGATTATGAGTCGAGAGGAATAGCCATGAAAGTCATTCCCTTCTTCCTGTGCTTCTTTCTGTTTGTTTTTAAAAGAATGTGTCTTTAAAAAATGCTGGAATTTGGTGATGAGATTGTTTTTTGGTTTTGTTTTTTTTTTTACCTCATAATTTCATCTTGTTATATAGAGTGTATTCTTCCCCTCTCCTCATTGTGAATAGACTATTTTAATAATACATGATGCTTTCTAGATGGAAGACCAAACCTGAAAAACAAGTGTGCTGGGCCCCTCCTGCAAGGCCAAGATAAGAAGTCTACCTTCCATCCCCAACTTCTGGGAAAGGGGAGGAGGTTTGGATTTCTATCAGGCTGCTGTTGCAGGATCCAGCTTGGGGCCCATCTCCCATCTCAGGCTCTGCTGAGTGACTGATAAATTTGAAACTTAACCCACCCCTTTAGCCCCATCCACATATTCTCTTTTTCTCCCCTTTTGAGGGCCTCCAGTGGTTGCTAAGCAGACAGATCTTCACAAGCCCATCCCTTTACTTGGGGGTTGGGTGGGCCGAGGGGAGGGAGGGAAAGGTGTCTATTACTTTACTCCTCCACATTATTTTTAAGTTCTTTCTCCTTTATGAATTGCTCAACTGCCTGTATCTTCTCCTGCTAAGAATTTTGCCAAACAGCAGAAGTCGGAAGTTGATGTCTTAACAGTTCCAGTCCCCTGCATGTTTCTGAATAGCTCCTATTGACCAGTCTGTAGGACCAATTCTGGCCGGTCTTTCTTCATTTCACTCTGCTGCTGCTTGGCAAAATTTTTGTTTGAACAGCACCTAAGAAGCCTAATTTGCTATGAATTTAGGAAGAATTGGTCTATATTCAGTTTACAGTTTTCATCTTGTCTTTGCCATTATAAAAATAGAATTTGTTCTGGGTGAAAGTTTACATTCTGCACAAATTAATGGTGTGGGTGCTAATACCTGCCTGGAAAAGCTCTCTTCTCCCCAACAGCGAGTGAGCAAACAACTTTTTTAAAGCAATATCCAATATGCATTTGTGTACATGTCCTTGCATGTATGTAGGTGGATAGGTACAGATTTACTGCTCTAACTGGATAGAAGGGTCATCACAGATTTTCCCACAAACCATATTTATATGAATCCAAGACATGATTTCCCCCTCCCCCTTTAACATATAGGGGCTCGTCTTGGATTTATATGAACTCAAGACATGATTCCCCCCCCCCCTTTAACATATAGGGGCTCGTCTTGGATTTGAGTATAAGGCAGAGTGGGGGCAGGCTCCTGCTGTGGCTCTGACTCAGCCCTGACCCGGGGCTTCTGCCTGCCTCCTGCCACCTATGCCCCCATGTCTCTGCCTCTCCTCCGCCCAGATTCTCTGTTTCCCCTTGCCGCTGCTTACCTCAAGACATGATTCCCCCCCCCCCTTTAACATATAGGGGCTCGTCTTGGATTTGAGTATAAGGCAGAGTGGGGGCAGGCTCCTGCTGTGGCTCTGACTCAGCCCTGACCCGGGGCTTCTGCCTGCCTCCTGCCACCTATGCCCCCATGTCTCTGCCTCTCCTCCGCCCAGATTCTCTGTTTCCCCTTGCCGCTGCTTACTCTTGCGCCAGCTCTGGCATAGCTCCAGCCCCACTCCAACCTGGGGCATGGAGCACATGTTTATTCTTGTCCCAGCCTAGCCCAGTAACAGTTGATGTAGTTGGTGGCAGCTATATCCAGGCCCCAGAGCCTGGGCCAGAGCTGCTGCCACCACCACCACCACGGCTACTGGGCTGGGCTGGGGCCAGAGCAAACATGTGCTCTATGCTTCAGGCTGGAGTGGGGCTGGAGCCAAAGCAAGGGTAAGCGGCAGGGGAGCAGAAGCTGTGGGGGAGGAGAGGTGGTGGGGCGGGGCAGGCAGCAGAAGGAGAGCAGGAGCCAGGGGGAGCAAGTGGCAGGCA